CCGCTCTCTTCATTTGGGCTGTAATGCTTTCCTCTTAAAGTAATACTACTATGTATCCTCGTCTATAAAAATGGAGGACCACAGCTAAAAAGCAGGCATATCCATAAATGTGAAACAGCTCAAGTCTTTATATACTTTACTAGAGGCCCAGTGCATGAAATTTGTGCGGGGGAGCAGGGGGTTCTCCTCAGCCCAACCTGTACATTCTCCAATCCGAGTCTCCTGGGGATTGGGCCTAAACCAGCAGTCAGACATCCCTCTCACAATCCAGGACTGCTGGCTCCTAACTGCTCACCTGCCTGCCAGCCTGATCACCCCTAACTGCCTCTGCCTGCCAGCCTGATTGCTGCCAACTGCCCCCCTGCTGGCCTGGTCGCCCCCAACTGTCCCCCCTGCTGGCCTTGTCACCCCACGTAGCCTTCTGTTCAGTTGTTTGGTCGTCCCTCACTCACCCCCTGCCGGCCTGGTTGCCCCACACAGCCTGCTGTTTGGTCATCCGTCGGGTTGTTTCGGTCGTGACGTCCCCTGGCCTTTTATATATTAGGATACTTTATATACTTTATAAGCTTTAGCTCAGTCACTTTCAAGGCTAGAGGCCACCTCAGAGAAAGTGTACTAGCAGTTAATTAGTGGAAGTGCCTCTTCCATTCATGACTGTGTGAGTCACCACATCTTCATTGAGCACCACTGTATGCAAGCTATGCATGACAAGCTGGGGAACACAAAGAAGAGGACACTGGTTCCTGCCCTCAAGGAGTTCAGCTCAGTTCAATAAAATGCCGTGTGCCTGACTAATGCTTACCACACAACAAGGATTGACTTTACCAGGTCGGGTAGGGTGTAAGTGCAATAGGAAAATTATTATAAACCTGGTGCCATAAAACTCAAAGCCTGGAGGGTTTGATAGGTCAAGGTTTGGGAAAGACTTTCTGAAAGTGGAGGCCAAGCACAGTGGAGAAGATATTTGCAAATAATTACCTGAATGCCAGTCATCGAATCAAGCAGATTCCACGCATCATCTCATTTTAAAATTGTGACGTAAAGATCCTTATTTGTAGTAAAGATATTGAAAAATATGGTTAGGAAAACAAAATGATCATGGTAGACATTCTATATTATAACTAGGTTTTGCCCCTTAATACATTTTGGATGTTTCCTATGTCACTAAGTATGTTTTTTCACCTTATTCTCTTTTTTTTAGAGTTTTAGATATTTATTTATTTATTTTTTAAAATAATTTTTATTGCTTGAAATATTACAAAGAGTATTACATATGTCTCCTTTTTCTCCTGCCCTTGACAATCCCTTGGCCTCCCTTATCCCAAAGTGTCTTAAGTCCATTGGTTATGCTTCGTCCTCACCGGGGCCGTCTTGACCTCACCAAGGCCGTCCTGACCTCACCAGGGCCGTCTCCACCTCCCCGGGGCCATTCCGACTTCACCGGGATCGTTTCACCTTATTCTTAATGACTACCTGATTTATTTAACCATTTCCCTTATAACTAAGCTAGGTAAGATGTAATTACAAGAAAAAAATTTTAAAAGGAAACAATTAAGACCATGAAGAAAATATGTAATCTAGCGGGTAGGCACTTTTTTAAAAGAGATTTTGTTTTTTTAGAGAAGCAAAATTGAGAGGAAGTTACAGAGATTGTCCATATACGCCTATCTCCACACATTCACAGCCTCTCCCATTATCAACATCCCCCTCCAGAGTAGTACATTTATTGTAACTGATGAGCCTACATTGATATATCATTTCATGTCATAATCACCCAAAGTCCATAGTTCACATTAGGGTTCATTCTTAATCTTGTACATTCTGTAGGTTTGGACAAATGTATAATGGCGCATATCTATTAATGTAGTATCATACGGAGGGTGGGCACATTTCTTAATAAAGTATATTAAAAGGGCAGAAACTTTAACAGAAAAAAATAAGTAGTTTTGAATACATAAAAATTTAAAAATCGTTTGAGTAATCAAGATTATGCAACCTCAGAGGGAAGGCAGGGGAGAGAGGGGTGAGAGATCAACCAAAGGACTTGTATGTATGCATATAAACAGAACCCATGGACACAGACAGTAGGGGGGTGAGAGCATGACTGTGGGAATGACTGGGGAGAGGTCAATGGGGGAAAAAGGAGACATACTGTTCTTTAAACAATAAAGAATTAAATTTAAAAACAAGATTACTATAAAATTAAAGGCATTATCTCATTAAATTCTCACAACAGTTTTATTAAGTAGGTGCTTAGGTTTCTTTTAAAGAAGAGGAAATGAAGGTGCAGAAATGACACTGCAGATCAGTGGACTTCAGGGATATTGATTATCTTGGTGAAGAATGAACGTTGGTAGAATAAGAGACATACTGAAGAAGTAGTTCAAGTTTAATCTTTGCAGCAGCCTTTGATATGAATCCCAGCTACTATGTTAAGGTGATGTTGATCTTCATTTCAACAGTTAAAATTATTATCTTTTGCCTGGCTGGTGTGGCCCAAGGGTTGAGCGTCGACCTATGAACCAGGAGGTCACAGTTGGATTCCCGATTAGGGCACATGCCCGGGTTGTGGGCTCAATCCCCAGTGTGGTGTATGCAGGAGGCAGCTGATCCATGATCCTCTCTCATCATTGATGTTTCTCTCCCTTTTTCTCTCTCCCTTCCTCTCTGAAAGCAATAAAAATATATTAAATATATATATCTACATATCTATATATATTTCCATTCCATCCTTTGAACTGTTCACTTCCATACCTTCCATACACTTTCTCATTATAGCTGTTGTGACAAAAATGATACCTTTTTCAGGTGTGTTCATATGCAAAATTTCAGAGCTATCAAGAACAGACAAACTAGATGCTAATTACAAAAAAGCATAAAATCCCTTTTTCCTATCCCTTATATAATAGACTATATATGCATTCCTTCAGTAGTAGAAATTATCTAGTCTCAGATAAACAGGGACAGCATAGTATGGATCATTAATTACTTGTTAAAAACAGGAGAAGAAAAGCCAAAACTGGCCCAACCGGTGTGGCTTAGTTGGTAGATCATGGTCCTGAGCAACAAGAGGTCAAAAAGGTTTGATTCCCAGTTGGGGCACACGCCTAGATTGTGGGCTCCACCCCTAGTTGGGGGCATGCAGGAGGCAGCCGATTAATTTTGATGCTTCTGTCTATCCCTTTCCTTTTCTCTCTCTCTAAAAAAAATCAATAAAAACATACTAAAAAAGAAAAAGAAAAGCCTAAACTGAACTATTAGCAATGTATGAAATAAAAAATTGATTATTGGCTATCATCATAGTTTATCAGTGGGAAAATCTGGAATGAAAAAATTTAGAATGTAAATGTTTTTAGATCATATTTAGATGAATTCCATCTAGTTAAAAATTCCATCACATCTTGGATAAAAGCAGCTGGCTTACTGATTGTTTACTATAAAATTTTTCTGTGCAATTGATCTAAAATTTGATTGAAAATGTAGATATAATATTTTCCTCCTCTGGAGTAACAAAATTTATGCTATGTAATAACCTTGACATGTTTATGGCATCATATTTAATGGGCCCTCCAGAGCGCTGGTGAATACCACAGTTTGGTCTGTTTTCTACATTTTTTAAGAATCTGGAAAAGCTGTAGGTAATGAAATATGCATCATAAACTTTTTGCATCTAGCTCAACTACTGCTGTCTTGATGCTTAGCAAAAGGGTCAAGGACTGTGTGTTCTATTAACTTCATTCGTAACTGAATTTAAGAGATTTTAATAGCTGTTTAGAATTAGTGTTTGAATCCATACTACAAAGAACATTAAGATTTTTGGCACCAAACAATCCTACATGTAGCCACTTAAAAAATGAATGGATTTAATTAGTATTGTTTAATTCCATGTATATAGATATATTCTTGTATAATGTATAACTGTATACATATATTTTTATACAAAATGTACATATTGCATATTTTACAAGTACACTTTATATTTTGTCCCAAACAGATAAACAATCAGATTCTGTACGGAAGAAGTCACCAGAATGCATCTGCCATTATTAAGACTGCCCCATCCAAGATCAAACTGGTTTTCATCAGGTAAAATAGATATATCATAAAATCTGAGCTCTCTTCAGGAAATGTTATTATTTATGTACGACTATTGTATCTTTGGTTTAACAAAATCACTGTATTCTAAAAATACATTTTCCTTTTGTAACTGTCACTGTAAGAAAAGTCTAGTTTGTTTTGAGTATGAGGCATTCTATTTATTTGTTTCACATGATAGTATTGGTAGTTGAAACCAGTATTTGTATTTCATTTTTTTAAAATCTTCCCTTCCTGGATATGATTCCCTCTCTACAAATATAATAGCATCTTCTAGCTTCTTCTCCTTCTGTCACGATCATTTGGTATAGGAGCTGACTCATTAATGTCTACATCAATGAATAGGCAGGAAAACAGAACCCAGGGAACTATAGAAGCTTCGTATTAGGAGTACTGGTGAGAAATCCAGAGGGGAGGTGATGTGAGCTCTGCTCTCTAGAGTTACATGCTGTGTTTGGAGCTCCATATATACCTACACCTTGCCTGCTAGCTGACTGAGCCTTTTTGGCAGAAGTGAATCAGATTTGGGGAGTCCTCATTGGTGGTAGCCACCATTGCCTCATCGGCAGTGGAATGAGCTTCGATTCTGTTATTGGTCTAAAATGACAGGTAAATCTGAATTATTTTTAAGTGACATAACTAACCCTGTATGTTAACTGTTGCTCTGTTTCTCTTCCTTCTGAGCCTCAGTTATTTGTAAAATGGGAATAATAAAGCATCTGCCTCATTGTGATATTTCAAAAATTTGAAATGTTCAGTAGAGTGTCTAGCATAGAGCAAAGGATGAGAGTGTTAACTGGTATTTTATGATGGTGATTATTCTTCTTCCTCTTCTCTTACCTGTCAGTAAGACCTATCCAATCCCAGCGGACGGCTGAGATTAAGGGGTAATTTTATTCCCAGATATGGGCACTACTGTAGGTGAATAAAATATTCCTTCCCACACCATCACTTCAGCCTCAGGGGTGTTATTGCTTTGCTCCTAAAGAAATCCTACATTGGCAACTTTTTCTCCCACTTGCTAGCATTTTCTGGCCTTCCAGTTTTTTACTCTTGTTTCCAGAGGGAAAACCTTTCTCCTGCTTGTATGTCTTTGTGTGCTAAGCTAAGGTGACCTTCTCTGGCTTACTCACCTTGACCTACTGTTAGTCACAGATCTTCTCTTTGAGTTTCTTTGCCCCTCCTATTGCCAGAGGTTACAAAATTAAACTTAGATGTGAAAAGATGAACAGACTTGAGGAATGGTCAGCCACTCAGGAGTTTAGGATCATGGGACTATTGGGCAGAACATTTTGTGAAGTGTATGATTGGCTGGCCATGGTGCAGTACACCTGAGACCAGTATAAAGTAATGTTAAAAGTGAACTGTAATTGAAAAAAAATATTAATTTAGAAAAAAGAGTTTAGGTCCTCACCGGTGTGGCTCAGTTGGTTGGAGCATCGTCCCATATACCAAAAAGTGTAGGGTCAGGGAAGATGCCTGGAGTTTGGGTTCCATCCCAAATTGGGGTGTGTGCCGAGGCAGCTGATTGATGTTTCTCTCTCACATGTATGTTTTACTCTTTCTTTCCTTCTTCCTCTCTCTAAAAATCAATAAAAAACAACAAAGTTTAGGATGTCCATTGAGAGAAGTCCATACAAGTAAAGAATTCAAACCACTTGGCCTTAAAAACTTTGCGTAGAGTTGTGTGAGGATAACATGAGACTTAAATAGCACTCAATGGTGACTGCACTGAAGTGCTCAACACATGGTGGAGACTGCTACAGTGCTATTGTTAATGTTCCTGTTACCTCTTTAGCATTTGTGCCTTTGTTACCTACCCATACTGGGCCATCCCATTTTAAAGAGAGCAAAAAGAAAATGGACTAGGATCTAAAGGAAATCATTTGATGCAATAAAGTAGTTGGGAAATAGAACCCTCCACCTTCAAGAAAGAAAGATTAAATGATTTGAAGTTGTTTAGAATACAGAAGAGAAAGCTGAGCAGAATATTAGTAATAGTAATAAAGCCCCATTAATTTAGTATCTGATGATTTCAATTTTGATTATTCAGAATGGATCAGTATCAAGGAAAGAATTTGTTCAGTAAATTAATAGTAAAGCATAATTGAGGATGCTACTGAATATTTACCGACTGGAAGTGATTTTAAGCAATTTAGAAGTGTCAATGTATATTTAAAATACATCATCTAATTATGGATGTTCCTTGCATGATCATTAAATTATAATTCCTAGCACATAATGGGCATTCAGGAAGCTCTATATCTATTTTTATAGGGAGAAAAAAAGATGTAGTCATAATTCTGAACAATCTAGCTACTTTTAAACTGTAAAGGAAAATGAGCTTAAGTTTAATCAAGAGTTATGTATGCACTGCTGACAGCTTTTTGTGTGATTCCGTAAATACCTCTGGTAATTTGTGTGCCAACATTTTATTAATTAATACTTCAGTTTTCATAAAAGAAGAAACTATTCATTTGACTGAGAACTCTTAACTAAAGTGATGAATTCTTTTCTAAAGCAAGATTGAACTATAAGGCTTAATAAGTAATTAAAAAACAACTCCTATATTCACCTAGCTTGATTTGAAACTGGGTTTAATGCTTGGGCTGTGTGAGCCTGGTCAGTTTCCTGATCTGTAAAATCTATAGCAATCTCATGAATTGTCTAATATATTAATATATATGAATTGCCTGGCAATATGGGCTCAACGATGTTCACTGCCATAGTGGTGGTGATGATGATGATGATGATGACGATGATGATGGTGATGATGGCAGAAAACCATGAGAAGGGTGGGAGGAAGGAGGTAAAAGAAAAGAGGTCTTGGGGAAGGACCTCAAGGAGGAAAAAAAGAATCTCTCCTTCATATGTACTTTATCTACTTCCAGAATCTTGACTATTTTTTAAAGTTCAGCACATTCACAGTTTAAGAATGTTTTCATTAACATGATAATGTTTAAACACTGAAAGAGATAGCTACGGACATTATATCAAACCATTCCTGGAAAAGGTTAGAATAAGAGACATAAGCCAAACCTGCCTAAGACATCTTTTAGTTCTCTGTCAGCTGCTGCTGCTCCTCCTCCTCCTTCTCCTCTTCCTCCTCCATCTTCTTCTTTTTCTTTTAATGAGGGCCTGATATTCTAACAAGGAGAGAACACTGGTTTTTTTTGTTTTGTTTTTTAGTAGAGCGCTGTTTGAGTAATGTATAAAGAGGAATCTAATTAGCATGACAATCTTCATGTCAATAAAATATATTAAATTCTAATATCAACTAATGTCAAAATTTAAAGCACTCAAGGGAATCAAGAAAATATTATATTGCTCATCAGCTCTGTAAATCAGCCATGGAGGCATAATGGCAGATGGGTGCCCTATTCTTGTGTGGTAACCGGTGCATTTCAGGTGCTATCCAACATACATCTCATCCTGTCTCCTTCAGGCTGATTGTCCAGCTCATTAATCATGTTGATACACCTTTCAACTTCTGCCTATGTATTTCCGCTTTCACTCTATTGTTACAAGAACCCCAATTTTGCCTTTTGGGAACTGTCAAATTGGAGCAGTGAAATATTGACTTGTTAGAAAGTTTAAGGAAGTAAAACTTAAATCATCTTGGCACAACTGATACAGTTATACTTATGAATTGCATAACATGTATTGTGTTTTATATGTATATTTATATGTATATATATTATTACTTTAAAAACTGATTTTTATAAGTTGTATTTCTTAAAGTTAGTGCTGCTATTTGCCAATATTTTCTTCCCTAGTTGAAATTAGTGATCCTCTATGCATTTCCAATAAATAGAAATTTTTGGCTTTTATACCTTGGCAATTTTTAAAAATTTATTGACAATTGTGATAAAATTGGGACCTGGCCACAAATTTAAGAGTATAATTAAGAGTAATCACAGAAAGCTGTTAAAATATGCTGCAAGCAACATTTTGATTAACTAGGGCCTTTAATCTATAGTAATGTACATTTGTGTGATCATGTCCTTGTCATATTCTTTTAACACTCGTATTTATTCAGATATTAATTGATCTATAGTTCACAAAGGGTCTGTGAGTTATTAATGAAAATTAGTAAGTTGCTGCTATGTATATATGATTTACATAATCACTCACACACATCCCTCTTTGTCCCCCACATCATTAGATTTTGGACAATCCAGTAATCATGTAATTGTGCCCTAAACCACATAGGGACCTTGATATACTAAATTTTTCTACTCTGGATCATCCAGAGGTGATATTACAATCTGGGTTCTTACTATGCACCTCACATTTAGTTCTTTGAGTTTTCCTACTCAGCATATCCTCTTTACACAAGCACACCAATTTAAGTACAGGAGGAGAGCTCTATTAATACGATGAAGAAGGAATTTCTGTGTTTGGCAATGTAGGGATCCAAGGAGATTAATGATCCTGCCTGCAGCTCTTGTCATACGCACCCCCACTATCAAAAATTAAATGTCGAGAGAAACTAAGATGGCGGCAGAGATAAACACCGGGAAGTTAATGCCGCTCACAACAATTGATTAATACCTCAGAGAAACAACACGGACTTCATCCAGAACCACAGGAAGCCTGGCTGACTGTAAACTCTACAACTAGAAGGAAGGAAAGGCACACTGAGACCCGCAGAAGCTGCAGGAGAGAAGCGCAGAGGTACGGGGCTCTCG